CAGAAAAGCAGCCCATTGTCTTAGAAAGGAGGTAGGACAAAATATAAAAGATAAAAAGANAGGGTGGGATGTTCTGAGAGAATAGCATTGAAACAAGTATACTATCAAGGGTGAAACAGATCACCAGCCCAGGTTGGATGCATGAGACAAGTGCTCAGGGCTGGTACACTGGGCAGACCCAGAGGGATGGGATGGGGAGGGAGGTGGGATTGGGATGGGGAACACATGTAAATCCATGGCTGATTCATGGCAATGTATGGCAAAAACCACTACAATATTGTAAAGTAATTAGCCTCCAACTAAGAAAAATAAATGGAAAAAAAATCCAGCAATCCCAGTACTGGGCATATATCTGGACTAAACTCTAATCCAAAAAGATACATGCACCCCAATGTTCACAGCAGCACTATTTACAACAGTCAAGACATAGAAGCAAACTACATATTTATCCACAGATGAATGGATAAAGAAATGTGGTATGTTGGGTGTATGTATGTGTGTATGTGTGTGTGTGTGTGTGTGTGTGTGCGCACATACACAATGGAATATCACTCAGCCATAAAAAGAAAAAAAATGACACTTGGAGCAAAAGATATTATCATACTAAGCAAAGTAAGTCAGAAAGACATATCACATGATATCAATTACATGTGAAATCTAAAATATGGCACAATGAACCTGTCTACAAAACAGAAACAGACCCACAGATGCAGAGAACAGACCTGTGGTTGGCAAGGGGGAGAGGGTAGAGGAGAGGAGGACTGGGAGCTTGGGATGAGCAGATGTAAACTATTATATATGAATAGTTAAATGGCAAGGTCCTACTACATAGTACAGGGAACTATATTCGATATCCTTTGACAAAACATAATGAAAAAGAAAATGGAAAAAATATATAAATGTATAACTGATTCAGTTTGCTGTACAGAAGAAATTTACATTGTAAATCTACCATACTTCATAAAAAAGTTTTTTTAAAGTTCTTGGGGACTAGAGATACTAAAAGATCTCAAAACACCACTGCACAGGTGAGCTAATTTACAAAGAGAAAAGGTGCCACATTTATTGTGAAGATACTGGGTGGTCCCCATCTTATCTAAGGGACCAACTCAGCATCACCAGTAGAGGGGGTCCCTGACATTATGTACCTTTTGACATTCTACAGAGAGAAAGCTGTATCACTAACTCATATAGCATTTTTGCCAAACATGTCTCATACTCTGGTTTGTCACATAAAATCAGGTTTAATGTTACTGGAAATACGAATGCAGATTGTCTATTTGATTATTTTAGAATTACTGCAAAATTTCTTAGATGTTCTATGGTATTGTGGGTATGGAGGAGCAAGTCCTTATCATTAACTGTCATGCATTATGGGGTTGCACAGAGTCGGACACGACTGAAGCGACTTAGCAGCTGCAGCACGCTAAAGAATCTTGGGGTGAGGTATCATGACTTCCGCCACTTATTTTCAAATAGTTAAAAATATTACATGTATGTTTATATATGTTATTTCCCTATCAAATATATCACACACGTGAAAGTGAAAGTGAAAGTCACTCAGTCGTGTCCGACTCTTTGTGACCCCATGGACTATACAGTCCATGGAATTCTCCAGGCCAGAGTACTGGAGTGGGTAGCCTTTCCCTTCTCCAGGGGATCTTCCCAACCCAAGGATCGAACCCAGGTCTCCCGCATTGCAGGCGAATTCTTCATCAGCTGAGCCACGAGGGAAGCCCAAGAATACTGGAGTGGGGAGCCTATCCCTTCTCCAGCGGATCTTCCCGACCCAGGAATTGAACCAGGGTGTCCTGTATTGCAGGCAGGTTCTTTACCAAGTGAGCTGTCAGGGAAGCCCTATATCATACATAGGTATCACATATGCATATGAAAAATTGGATAGCAAGGTGTTCACTAGTGTTAGGTCTTGTGAAGGGTTTACAGATCTTGTTTATATAATCTTCTTCCAATTTTTCCATGGTTTTGAAACATTTCAAAGTAAAATCAAGTATGAATCATAGTATATAACATGTGTGTCTAGCCCACTGTAGGTCTCCATAAGGGGTAGCCAAAATGAGACCATCATCTATTTTGTTTTCCTTTTTCAGAATCTCAGAGATTCCATTTCACAGTCTTGGCTGTGGTTTGGCTGAAAGCAGAGAAGTAACCACCCAGCAAGCTGAGCTGTGGTTTTTGTCTGAGACATTTGTGAAGAGAAGGGGGAAAAATAAAGAACCTATTTAGCCTCCTATTAACAGCCCCTTCGCAGATGAAACACTGGGGCTCAGTGGCCACAAGCTGTTCTCACCAGCGGTGGGTTACTTCACATGCTCACAGAAGCACTGGGGTGATGGAATTACAAATTCCACACATTTCCCAGAAGACAATTTTGCAGCACAGATGAAAGCAGTGTGACTCCAGCCAGCTCAACCCGCAAGATGCTTCCTTGGTTCCCTGAAGGGGGTTTCAGTTAATGGACTAGAGCTGAGCTCCATCTGCAGCTAGACCTCGAGGTCAATGGGCCCCCAGCAAACAGAGATGGTGCCTCTCCCTTCTTCAGGAGAAATGGAACCTAACCCCGGTGTGCACAGGAGCCTGTGCTCTTCTGAGACCTTCCTGTAATCTCCATGGTCCCCGAGGTAGGGCCTCAGGAGAGCTGCAAGCCAGAGGCATGGTATCCTGAATGTTGGTGCTTTTACTGTGATGATGCCCACACAGCTCGAGAGAGCAGGGATGGAGGTGCTGCCGTTAATGGTGTTTGATTAAAATTTAATTTCAAAGCACTGCTGTTCTCAATTTGTTTTGATAAAGACCTTGTGATTGGTTTTTCTTTTTTTTTTTTTTCTTGGTGATGAGAAGGAGAAACGGAGAGGTTGGGGCATGACTTAAAGATGGGACTTGGGATGTGCAGTTGCACATGTAGGTAATCCTCAAAAAGCGGCCCAAGGCAGGCAGAGCATCTTGGCAAGAAATGTCCTGAGCGGTTCCTGGGCTAAACCCTCCTGTTCATCTTCAGCGTTCTGAATTTTCATGCTGGTTCCCAACACTGGCTCCCCCTTGTCTGACAACCAGGTCCCCCCCATGAACTCTTGTCACTAAACCACCCTGGGCTTCCCCGGTGGCTCAGTCAGTAAAGAGACCGCCTGCAATGCAGGAGACCCGTGTTTGATATCTGGGTTGGGAAGATCCCCTGGAGAAGGAAATGGCTACCCACTCCAGTATTCCTGCCTGGGAAATCTCATGCACAGAGGAGCTTGGTGGGCTGGAGTCCATGGAGTCACAAGAGTCAGACAGAACTTAGCAACTAAACCATCAAACCACCCTACTTGCCCCAACTCTGCATCTCCTTATTATATAAAATCAGGTTTCATGTTATTGGAAATATGAATGTGGATTGTTTGTTTGACTATTTTTAAATTAATGTGAAATTCTGCCACATTGCCACTCCTTGGATATCGATGCCATGTTTTCTATAGCTATGACAGTGGACATCTACTGCTCTGAAGAGATGGATGGGTGGTTTCTGGGTTGATTGTGCTAGAGGATTCTTTGTCAAGATTTTTGTTTTTTGGACTTAGTGCAAATGTAGTAGCTTCATTTAATGAAAACTTACAGTCTGATGGACATGATTCTAGTTTCTATACATGCCATCTTTTCTATGAGCATAAGAACCTATAAGTTAGGTACTATGATTATATCTCTCTCTTTTTTTAAATAACCACATGGCTTGTGGAGTCTTAGTTCCCTGACTAGGGATCAAATCTGGGCCCCCAACAGTGGAAGCACAGAGTCCTAACCACTGGACAACCAGAAAATTCCCAATTTATCTCCATTTTTACAGATAAAGGAAGCAAGGCACTGAGAGGTTAAACAACTTTCTCCAGGCATATTTGGCTCCAGAGCCTGACTTCTCAGACAGTGTATTAGTCTATGTGCTGGAGAGGGGGCTATTTACCTTTGATACAATGGAGCCAAATCTGGAGAAAGTTCTGGTAGCTTCATCAGAAGCCAAATCCAGGGCCGCACAATGAAGCCAAGATGAGACGTCTGACCCTCTGTTGGAGGCTGGACGGGAATAGGTTCCCAGGAAGCAGGGCACTCAGATCTGGAGAAGCCGACCCAGGTGAGAGTTGTACCCACAGGAGACGGAGGTTCTTTACAAGACAGCAAGACGGAGGAACAAGGTGACAGAGGCTGAGTCCCCACCACTGTGCTACCAAGAAGCACAATCTAGAGGGACTGCAAAGAGAGTGGCTGCGGGGATGATTTTTAAAAGGATTGGGGAGGGCTTGTTACAAAGGCAGATTTGATAAACTCCAGGTCTAGGATAAGATGGAGGGATTGAGGGACAAGGTTAGAAGAGGCTGGAGTGCTTTCCTCTATATGCTTGTGGAACTTTGCAGCTGAGGATATAGGTCTTGATCCCACCAGGGACCCATCACTCAGGTCTCCCTGTGTTCTAGGAAGTATACCTGAACACAGGGAGAGAAGTCAGTATAGGGGAAGATATGAGTTCAATTTTGGATACCTTTTTGAGATGCCAGTAGGACACCCAGGTGAAAATGTGGCTCTGGGTGCATTCAATGTGTGTGTGCCAAGCTCTTTATGTGTATTTTCTGCTCCTAATTTTTAAGAGATTCCAGAGCTGATTCCAAACTCAACACGTTTCAACAGTATGATTGATACACATCTTCTCTTTTGAGAGGCATCAGTGTGGTTAAGTGTTGGCATAGCAGGTGGTATAAAGTGAGAGCTGGGATATGGATGAGCATGCGTCTGTGGCAGAGGTGTCACTGCCTAGGGGGACAGCGCCCCCTGGAGTTGTGCACTGTACAGCCTGCATGGTGTGTTACTGAAGAGCTTAGAGAAGATGCTGATATACTGACAGAGAGATGAAAGATGCTGGAAAAAAAATAAACCCTTGCAACCGCTAGGCGTGGCCGCCTGAGCTGGCCCAGCCCGCCCAGCTCCTGCGGGAGCATGCCCACTCCCCGACTCACCGTCCTCCTCCGTCTGCACCACCAGCTCCTCGCTCTCCATGCGGCCTTCGGGGTTGGACAGCAGCAGCCGCAGCCGGATGGCCATGAAGGGACGCAGGCCCCGCAGGGTGTAGTGGGACGAGGTCTGGATGAGCTCCTCGGCCTCGTACTGCTGCTGGTTGAACACGTACTGGTACTGCACCGTGAGGTTGTAGCTGTGGCAGCGGGTGACCGCGTAGCCGAAGGGCTCCCACTGCAGCGTCAGCTGCCGGGCGCGGATGTCCACGATCTCCACGTTCTGGGGGCCGTGCACCGGGTCTGCAAGACACACGCAAGACACGGGGCTCTGAGCAGGCCGCTGGGAAGGCGGGGTGGGGGCTCCGCTGACACAGGGGAACACAGCTCTCACCAATTCAGCCACTGCCTTCCTGATGTCACCACTTAGAGTATAATGTAATTAATATTTTTCTGTAAGACAACCCTATTATTTAAACACAAGCATCTAAAAGAAAACCTAATTAAAGGGAAAGCCTGAATCACTTGTCATAAATGAATATTAACCATCTGAAAAAAATGCAATGTTGTTAAAATTGTTGAGGTTCATCAGGGTACCACTGAAGACCATCGTGGGCACCACCGACAGCACACACAATGCTTTGGGGAAATACTAGTTGAGAAGGAAGCTGCAGTCTGACCTCTCTCTGTACATTTCATCTGGCCGCACCTCTCCCCTTGAGAAACCAGCCACCTCTTCTCAGTTCATGGCACTAGAGGCAGAGAACGCAAATGGAGCAGCATCCTCAGCACGCAGCACCCAGGCTGTCACTGTGACCAGCGGGATCTCCTTTCCTTTCCCTGAAAACACAACTGATCCCTTTGGAGCCTCCCGTAACAGCTGTCAGCCCTTCCTTCTCTCCTCTCCGTTCTCAACCAAACAGGTCTCTCCAGGAATATCATTCTCAAAACAGATCTGATGCAACGGTCCAACTCCTAGGCACATATTTGGACAAAATGATAAATCGAAAAGATACTTGCACTCCCATGTTCACAGCAGCACTATTCACGATAGCCAAGACATGGGAGGAACCTAAATGCCCATCAGCAAAGGAATGGATAAAGATGTGGTACAATGGAATACTACTTAGCCATAAAAAAGACTGAAAAAACATCATTTGCAGCTAAATGGATGGACCCAGAGATTATCATACTAAGTGAAGGAAGTCAGAAAGAGAAAGATAAATACCATATGGTATCACTTACATGTGGAATCTAAAATATGGCACAAATGAATTTATCTACAAAACAGAAACACACTTCCATGCATAAAGAACAGGCTTGTGGTTGCTAAGGAGGAGGGGGACAAGATGGAAGAATTGGGAGATGGGATTGGCAGATGCAAACTCTTATATAGAGAAACAAAAAGGTTCTGCTGAAGAGCACAGGGAACTACATTCAATACCCTATAATAAATCATAACAGAAAATAATATGAAAAATAACATACAATTTTAAAAGGAATAAAAATTAAAAACAGGTATTATTACGCCTTCTCACCCCAGTGCTGTCTTCCATCCCACCCCCCCCAACTTATCTTGGTCCCAGACCCTCATATATAACAGTGGCCATCTTTATTTTATTATGAATATTCTATTTATACTTTATACAAATTAAGTAGATGTTTTTGTACAAAATAGATTATAACAAACAAAACTATTTTTTTTAAATCTCCATATGTAAAGCTCATTCTCTAAGGTTTAGGCATTTATTACAATAGAAACACAACCTCCTTTATGATCGGCATATCCCATAAGTTCTTCTGTCAGGTTTTCTTCGCTGGGAGTAGTTAAGCACAGGCTAGAGATTCAATCAGTGTATTTCCCCCCACGCTACCTATAGGGCTTTACCAGTTTATATAATCTCTTTGGGTCCATTTTCTATTTCATTTGTTAAATAGAGATAATGATAGTAGTTAACTTTATGCAGGGGCTGTGGGGGGGCATTAAATGAGGTGTTGTTTGCAAAAGCTCTTAGAATTACACCTGGGATTTAAGCACTCAGTATTTGGCAGTTTTTCTTCTGCAGTAAAAGGAAAAGTACTAAAAATAATAACAAGTCCTTACATGCTGTATCCACCCAACCACCTTATATGTGGCAGTACTGTGTAGCATCCTTATGCAAAATGATAGATTCTTTCATCTCTCTGGTCCTCTCAGAGCATGTAGGGGTAAGGCTGCTTCCTTGCCAATGTGGTGATAAAAAGAGAGCGGGGGGAATTCCCTGGTGGTCCAGTGGTCAGGACTCGGCTCTTCCGTTGAAAGGAGCACGGGTTTGATCCCTGGTGGGAGAGCTAAGACAGGGCATGCCACGTGGCATGGCCAAAAAGAAAAAAGGAAGGCGATACTGATGGTGCTGAGTCCTCTGATCTGTCCGTGCAGGGCAGATGTCCTACACTTTGAAGTGGTTCTCTTTGGAGAAGGAAGCTTAGAAATAGACGTCAGGGAGCCCAGTATCCAGCCCAGACCTGTGATGCACTACTGGGGAAACTGGGGCAGCCTGGCCCTGCTCAACTACTGAGCTCACGGTCACTCTTACAGCCCGATAACTCATGTTATGTAAAGGAAAACCCGTATCCCAAAAGCAAAGAGGTGTCACTGAACAAAAGCCGCTATGTGGAGCCCACATGGATCGAACAGTGAGAAGGGAGGTCCCCAGAGCTGGGGAGTTCTGACCTGGTGTGGCTGCTACTGCTGCTCGCTTCACATGAGGACAAACATATAGACAGAGTTAACAGTGAGAAACTCCTTGCCTGGGAAGTCCTGAGCATCCCCAAGCACTGCCTGGCGGGAGCCTTTCTCTTAGTCCAGATGCCAGAACACTGGTGGCAGGGAGGCCGCCCACCCTGCTCGGAACCTCATGGACCCTCCTCTGGGCGTGCCTTCAAACTTGACTCCGAGCTTTGTCCAGCTAGATAACTGCCCTCATGCCCTCTTGGCTCACCTTGTTAGAGTGAGATCAGGAACATTTAAGGCCCATAAAATCCAAGGCTCTAACCCTATTTTGTCAAACATCTTAAGATGTACCACAGTCCCTGTTAAATACTCATTTGGGAATCTCCAATATTACCTTCACTTCCCTGATAGCTCAGTTGGTAAAGAATCCACCTGCAATACAGGAGACCCTGGTTCAATTCCTGGGTCAGGAAGATGCACTTGGAGAAAGGATAGGCTACCCACTCCAGTATTCTTGGACTTCCCTTGTGGCTCAGCTGGTAAAGAATCTGCCTGCAATGTGGGAGACCTGGGTGTGATCCCTGGGTTGGGAAGATCCCCTGGAGAAGGAACAGCTACCCACTCCCGTATTCTGGCCTGGAGAATTCCATGGTCTGTATAGTCCATGGGGTCGCAAAGAGTCAGACACGACTAAGAGACTTTCACTCTCTCACTCAATATTCCCTTCAAGCACCAATGAAACAATAAAAACAAAACAACCTTTATGGCCAGCAGCCTCAGTGTTGGGTTCTATCACCCCCATCACCTTGTGATCCTGTAAGGAAGAAACTGACTGCCAATTACACTTTATGGATGAATAAACTGAAGCCAGAGAGGTCCAAGAACTTATACAGACTGACAAGAGGTAAGTTCAGCGTGACAGCTTTTTAAAAACTGTCCTGCAGGCTAGAATGTAAGCTCTTCGAGAGCAAGGATTCTCCCTGCTCATCCCTTCAGCCTGTGCCCAGCATATCAGTTGAAAGGATGCTTTAGTTTGTAAATACTACCACACCCTGTGAAGAAAGTATCGCTAGCCTTGTCCTAGAGGAAACCAAAGTTTTGTGAGATGAAAGGATGGGCCCAAAGCCACAGAGAGCGCGGCACGGCTGAGATCTGAAGGCTCTGGGTCCAGGATCTCTGTGTTTTCTCTGTACTGTGATATCAGGAAGGAGACCAAGGAGAGGACATAAACATGAGGCCTGTCACGGTCATCAGGAATCTGCGGAGAATGGAGTGAGAAAGCTGAGAGCTGTAAGGCAGAAGTGGCTTGATCCATAGGAGCCTAAGGCCTGCTGGGGAGGGTAACATGGGCAGTTAATCACATTGGGGCTAAGCTGAGTACCGACCTGTCTTCCCACTCCTCGCCTTCAGCCACTAGAGTCCTCTCCCCGAGCCCACCTAGGAAGGTGTGCACAGGAACACCGCTCTGCTGCTCTTCAAGGAAGCAGCAGACGAGGGCACCTTTTCAAAGAAGGCCAGAGACGTTGCAAGCCTGCCACAGAGCAAAGAGACTCCCTCCCGGAGTGGGAAGGTCAGGGCACAGAAGTGACTTGCTCCCTCTGAAGCAGATGCGACTGACTGTCATGACAGGCCACCGGAAACAGCAGAGCACGGCTTGAAGCCAGACTCTGGCGCTCACTAGCTGTGTGACCTTGGCAAGGGCACTTCATCTCTGAGCCTCCATTTCTTTGTCTATAAAGTGGAAATGGTTGTACTAATCACAGAGGGCTATTAATGAGTACAAAATGAACTGTAAAGAGAAAGAAAATTGCCTCTAACAGTGGGCATTCCTCTTAGAGAGAATGGCCTTTCTTGGGGAAATGTCTCTAGAAGCTTGTTTGGAGTAGAAGTTTCACTCCCAGGGCCTTGGGATCAGTTGTGCTTAGCCTTTAGAGGAAGAGGAAAATGAGCTCACTGGTGCTGGGACTGAATGGGGGAGGAAGAGAGTGAACATGGTGGTGGAATACTGGGTGGAGCCCAAAGGGACTGTCCTCATGGGACTCCCCGTCTTCATCAGGGTCCTCAAGGTACCACAAACGGTTGGCTATGATTGGATTTCTTGTGGCTTCTTAGATCTGAATGCCTCACTTGAGCCAAATAAGATGCCACGTGGGAACAAAGAGACCAGAGGCAAAGAGGACTTGGAAAAGACTGTCCAGGTGTGTCACTGACACCTTGAAAGATAATGTGGGACTTTCTCAGGCTACGGAATCAGAGATTGGAGCAAAACTCAGTTCAAGTGAAAAGACAAGAACTTTGGTGGCCCTGTGGGTGAGATATGTGTGGGTGAAAGTGCTCTGTAAGCTTGAGCACTCCCATTCAAGAAAAGGCAAAACTGGCTATACAGTAACTATGGACTGGGCAGCTGCATGCTGAAAACAAGTGTTCAGCATAGGGAACTGAGATCAGCGAAGGGACATGACTTAGCCAGCACCACACAGCTAAGTAAGTCCCCAGCTTTGGACCCCCACGGCACTTTACCCAACTGTCCAGCCCACTCTGGTTGCCATGCTTTCCAGGAACTTGTATCCATCACTTGATCTTGATCTTG